ACTAATTTTTTAACTTAAACATTTTTATAATAATACGATTTTATGCTTTTATCATTCAAGTATATTTCACTGTCGGAATGACGAAATAATAATCAAACTAAGTATGTATATTGAAAATGATTAATACAAAGTGTTGAGAGAATATAATAAAATGTACCAAATTTACAGTTTATTGTCTGCTTAAAAATGTAAACTACTGCAGTATATGACAATATGTTTATTAATATAACAACATTTGTATTATCAAGATAAAATATTGTTAGCGTAATAAATACTAGATTTTTTAATCATCTAAAAAATATGTATGTCAATACTACTAATAGCATTTTTTTCTGGTGTACGTACACGAATAATCGACAATTGCATTATTTTTCATATTGCATGAGATGAAAAATGTCAATTGAATGCGTTTTCATACGGTTTCGCACTTATAACATAATAATTATGATATTATAAAAACATTTATTATTATAAAATACAAGTTTTAGTAAAATTGCTAATGTTTATTTTATCTTGCAGTTGAGCAAAAATCGTTATTAAATCAAGAAATGTTATAATTTAATTAATTTATGGATATTGATTTTTTTTTTTTTTACATTTATCAAATAATTAATTATAAAATATCTTTAAATTAGTTTAAACCATGGATATGAATATTAAGCTTAAATATATATTATGGTAAATATGAAATAATCATATATGTATTAAATGCAACGAATTCAAATTTAAATTAATTGGCACGCATAACTGTTGTCTTTTACGTAATAAAACGAATCGACTGTTAAACGAAATGCCTAACTGTGCAGCTCTTACAAAACGTGTTGAAAACTTTATTTGCAGGTATGTAATGTATTCAGAAAACATAATTTAAACCATTGTGACCTGTTCATATAAAAATTCGACCTTTTACGTTGAAAAAAATGAATTATGTGCTTGAAAATATACAGTTCTACTTTGTACTAGTACTTACTAACAAAAAATTTGTTTGACATTTATTTTTAATTGTTACCATTGTATACCATTGTTCAAGATGGATTTAATACACGTACCGAACTGCAGTACGTATAGTTCAGGAATTAATCCCATATTTTGTAATATTTTCATTTGAACTTGTAAAATCACAAAATAAAATCATTCTGTCCAGCTGATTTTCGATTTTTAAATACTTTCATTTGATTGGTTATCAGGACTAGTTGATAGGAATAATACATTTTTGATAATGTCCACACGTTAATTTGTAATCTCCAAAGTTCTAGATGATGTGCAATCGTTACTTATATCTGAAGACGCTTGAAATACTAAGTATTGTATAAGGATGGGCCACACTTACAACTAATTCCAACCAAATTTGAGTTGGCCTATATTTTTGTTCTCCCGCGTGATTGCATTCCTTATTTCATTCAATTTCACTACAATTTATATAAATTTATCAGTGAAAGGCGATCACTACCAACACTATTAATTATTCGTTAAATGTTAGAAATTTTAGCAGTGCTGTTCAAGAAAACTCGAAATATTCAATTTTTAAGTTTTTAAAGTCAAACTTGATCAAAGTGTATGATTTTGATTCATAACGTGTACTCTGTAGTAGTTGTACTCGTATACTAGAATAGATTTTTTTTTTTTTTTTTATCAAAAAAATACTCGTTTGATTGACATAGTTTTTACCATTTGATAATATAATTTATGTAATTCTAATGCAATAGGACATAAAATTTGCCATTATATGTTTTAAGTTTTTACTTTTATTAAAAGACAATTTTAATTATCTACAAAATATTGATTCATAAAAACTAATAGCACATCAGTTGTTTATTGTTTATCAATATTTAAGATGTTCAGAGGAACTAAAGTTTAGTTTATAATAATTAATAACTAATAAGTTGATGAGTTCGTGGTTAATATTATAATCTTTAATCTCACATTAATCATGTACATCGAAATATAAACTTTCATATTTAATAGGATCGTTTTGAATGGAATTTGATACTTTTTGTTTTAAAAGTTAGTTTTAGATCCAAATACAATTTCGTATAGGCTATTTAATTGAATAGAATAACATTTAATAGTATGACTGAAAAGTTAGATATTAGTCCGTTATTGCCCGCCGTATAACGGTAGGTATATAAGTACTTGATTAAAAAGCACTTGAGTCAAATACATTGTAATACATTTGAAACACAGTGTGTTTACTAAATGTGTTTGTATATTTCATATAATTATAATGTAATTAAGATATAATTGCATTAGAAGAACAAGACCAAATTATCTACTTCACCATTATTTGATATGTGCAAATTATTTGAAATTGTTGAAATTAGAATTCCCTATGGGCATTAAACTCAATAGAACAGTAAAACCGATCGATCGTCAAATCACCAATCAAACCCAAAACTTGAAACTACGTTACAGTAAAATGTTCAATACAAGGGTGAAATATTGAAATGTCATCCACGTAATTCAAATATTTATTTTACGATACCATTGATTTTTTTATTTATTTTTTTTTTAATAAATTATTTAATATAAATAAATATAAATTAAATAAATAACTTAATTTTGTTAAGTGTTTCGCGTTGTATTAATTTGTGTTACAGAAATATGTGTAATCGGTTTTGCATACTCAAAAGTTTGAAATGTTTTACGAAAAATAAAACAAAATTTTGAAACGAGCTAAAATTGACATATTTATAAAACACAACTAGGAATATTAGTGCAATGTAAAATCACTCCACTGCCATACTCGACGATTGCCAAAGGTCAAAATATCTTTAGAATATGACTAATTGTTATTATAATAATATTTTGTAACATTTCTTAATAAATAATTAATTAATATGGTCAGGTAGATTCAACTTAAACATTTATTAAAACGAATTGTGAAAAACTATATTAACTTATGATTTATCAATTATTATTGTTATTTTTATTTAGATATAATTTTTATGATTAAAATGTATATCATGCATATTATATTTGTTGTGTTCAACTCAATACCTCGATTAAGAGGGTTCAAGGGGTGGAAGTGAGCTGAAAATATCGCAGTATCGCTGCTGAGCTCAAATTCTTACGTTGCGGTATATACGATCTAACCAGTACCCAATTAACCTCCAATGGAATTATGACAGAACCTAAGCTATAAATGCGTTCAACGGGTCAAGTGAAATCACGGAAATTCAGAATGGGAATCTCTACTTAATCATGATCCTCGAAAACTCATGGTTCTATTAGTGTTTTGTGTGCTCGCGTACGCATTATTCCGAACACGTGCTGTAAACTAACCAGCAAGAAGTATAATTAAACTTCACTAATACGCATACAGGCGTAGTTAAAAAATAGAAAAAAAAAAGATTATGAAATACTATGGTGTTATACGTGCATTTAGACATTTTATGAACCTCTATGTTTCCATTAGATGTTTGTGCATTTCATAGTCATTCGTCCGAAATATTCGCATGGAAAAAAATGTTTTGGTCGAAAACCACAATGCTCGTGTCATATTGGACTAATACTGTACATAAACATGACAGGTCGAGAAAAAATTAAAACAATAATAATAAAATTATAAAAAAAAAAAAAAAAAGTCAACCGAAATACATTTGGAAAAACCCTGAAAGCAACTCCATCATTTATAAAATCATAATGAATAGTGTTAAACAAATTTTCTCTAGAGTTTTATATGAATATAATGCAAATTATACTTTTTTTTTCCAATTTTGACTTTGTAAATTTTTTTAGAAATTAATTTGAAGAAAATAAAACACATTATTTAAGTATAAAAAAGCCCTTTTTTTTACTCATGTTAAACTGTAACGGGCTGCCTGTTGTGATTTGTTTTTAACAGCGGTTATTCATTACCGATGATCGTCCAACGTATGCCGACACACGTAATCAATGTGCACATACGCACGTCTCAAATATAGCACTATGATCGAATGATTTGGGAACCAAGATTCCCTGAATGGAATCCAAATGGGTAATAAGGATCATTACGCTTTAGATGGTATATTTAATTCGAGAACACTCAAAGAAATGATGATTTCTGATGTATACAATATATGTGATGTTTATATGATATACGTCACTCCGATAATATCGATAGTAATTTATGAATCACATGTTTAAACGATCAATACGATAAATATCAAAATTAATGTATTTTCGTGTGACATTTTGCATATAATGTACAAAATCGATCAAAGCAAGTTATGTATAAAACTAAATGCTCATAATAGCGTAGTGGTCGACAACTAATTCGAAACAAAACATATTTGGACGGTATTAATTTAAACATTTACTTGTTTGTATACAATTTCGAATTTCTATAATATACGCCTATATGAGTCAAATGTTGAAATGCTTTTAGACATTATCTGCTGATAATAATAAAAACAAAACAATTTTATCCGTATAAATTTGATGATGCCTGATAAAAGTTTTATTTATTTTTCCAATATTATTTTATTTCACACGAAATCATGATAAACATATTTTGATTGCGCTAAAAACATTAATTTGAACATTAAACATTAATCAATTGAACACTTCCGTGGAAATTAATTGATCTATCGATCTCGATCGAGTTAACTTAAACGAATTGTGTTACTTAAAAAAAAATGTGCATACATATTCCCCTGCATTATATCATACGCATAAATAACAACAAAATCACCAGTTAGAATGAGTTTCCTCGGGAAAGGGCTAATCCTGCGTGTTTCGTCCACCGTAATGTTTTGCCTTAACGACACGCCAGCGAATATGATCTGTCAAAAGCCTAGCAGATAACTTTCAGCGTAAGGAATTCCAAAAATGATTTATGTTATTATTTTCAACATTTTCCTTTATGCTATATTTTTCTTTGAACACTCATCTGTGTATTACTGTGTTTATTTTTTGTTCGGGAAATGATAAAGATGAAAATTATTTTACGTGGTCGAAATCAAAAAAAAAAAAAAATGTACATAATAAATGAAAACATATAATAAAAAATGTATACTCACCATTGTCTGATTTCTTTTTCCGAAACTAAGCAGCAAAACACAAATAAAACACAATCATAAATTAGTGCAAACAAATATAAATATTACATGTCTTATGAATTTTAGTAAATAATATGTGAGCATTTTAATTTTAATAACGGGCTACGGAGAAAAAAATATTATATTTTCAAAATTATTTAGTTTTAAATGTATTCTTTCAATACAAATCAGTTGATAATAAATATTTATATTAATTAATAAAACATTTATATCGTTAATATTGATATTTAAACAAAGTTTGAGTGGTTGAATCAAGTTTTACCCATGATATTATATTTTCCATTTCTAATAAAACATAAAGTCGATAAAATTATAATAATAATAATACAAATTTCGAAAAACAAAATAATAATTCAATCCCGTTAAAATATATAATACAATTAATAATAATAATAAAACAATAATACCATTACAGTTTCAATCCTAATATTGTTAATGCAGTTTTTTGTTCAACTTTCAAATTTTAAATTTTGTAGTTAATACATTGGCTTTTATTTTTAACATTACACATCAAAATATTATTTCACATCTTGAACTGGTATATGAATATATGACTCATAAATATATGTCGTTAGTGAACATTTCAAATTTAATATATAATTCATTATTAATTTTAATTTTTTAATTTTTTTTTTTTTTTTTAATATAACTTAAAATATCGTAGTTGTGTTGAAATTAATATTATTATATATTAATATATTCTTTATTTTACAATTCTAGTGCATTTATTAGTTTCACATTTCAACTACCTCGTTTACCTTGATAAATTAAAAGTTATCAAAATTAATTTGATTTTATCGCCATTATAACCAATACACGGATAGCAATATTTATATTTATTATTCGCCCTATACGTTTTTGTGGTTTACTGTATTTTAAATAACTTATCAGTTTATTTGATATTACATTGGCGATCAATGTTGATAACTATATGTCGTTCCGACAAATCCGTATTGCCGTAGTTCGTGGCAAAACTAGTGATGGCAAACCGTTTGAAATTATTGGTAATATATTGTGATCAATAAAATATATTGAATGTGTTTAATATTAACGTGTAACGGCTTATCGCACATCATTATTGTTCCTACGGGATGTTTCTTGACGACATTGAATTATAAATCGTTTTCTCTTGTGAAATATCTTACTTGAGCATCCTAAATAGTTCGATGTGATGTCACGTCTTGAATTATTACGCTTTATATTCTCTATTTCCGCATAAAGGTCCGCTCAAACCGAAGCGGTAGCGGTAGCGGTAACGGCAGCGGAATTTATCGCTTTTTAAATACCGCTGATCTAACCTAAGCGGAGAGCAAAATGTTTCGCCGAAAATTACTAGTCGACATTGTGACACCCATACGCGAACATGTATTTTAGTTATTATTATATTTTTATTTATTAATATTAATATTTTAAAGTACACAACGACAAATTAAGAATATAATCTTTTTTTCTCGTATCCTTGAATTCTGGAAGTGTCATATTATATATGATGTGATATTCTTTAACAATAGCTATTGACTGTTCAACTTTATTGGTCATTTTTATTATAAATAATAAATTTTAAACAAGAGAATCATACAAACACCACGACGTTAGATTCAACTGCAAGGTGTACGATGAATAGATATGTGTTTGAATATAAAGTCAAAATATATCATACAATGATAATGATAAGCTTTCTATAGATATTAATGTATTAATAATAAAATGTGGATAACTCGTAGTTGGGAATTTACAACTGATTATCGCAGCGGTAAGCGAAAGATATAGTGCCTGGAGTGAATAATAAAAATATCGCCCTCAATCTTGCGGTAATATTTTTGTCGCGGTACTAATTTCACGACAGTGCGCTCGTATTAGATCGTATAGACATTAAATTTCGCTGCCGCTATCGCTTCGGTTTGAGCCAGTGGCGGCGTGACGGCAGATTTTTGAGTCCCTGGACTCAAGTCAGTGGGTTGGTATGTGGGTGGGTATTGACCATTGGATATCGAGTGGGTATTCGTAAATATGTATTTGAGAGAGGGGTAGCTCTTTTTACAAGCTACCCTTAAATTTCTTTTTAGGTGGGTGGGTGGGTGGGTGGGAAAAATCCTAACAGGACTCATAAAGTAAAATATTTCGCGCCGCCACTGGTTTGAGCGGACCTTTATTGTGTTACGTTATCACTGCGGTCGCATAACGTTTGCGGTGTTCGTTTTCCCATTCATCTTTATCGCGTGCCTGTTTTCGGTGCTAAGAACAACGAACCGCGCAGTAGACACCACGGTAAGTGTTAAACAATAACAGCTTTTATTTCATTATGAACGCACGCGTAAGGTTATTAATTTATCATAGTTGCGATCATGCCGTCGCACAACGAACATCGATTGAATGCTTTTGCCGTGAAAATTAAGGTGCAAATTTGTACCATCTGAATCCGTGTTTTTCAAACTGGTGGCCGAAAAAAAAATTATGTAAAGAATTTTTTCTAGCCTTAATTCATTTATATTTATAAATGTTTTTAAGTCTAATACTACACATAATAAGGTTGTTCCAAAAGTATATAAAACACATTGACTTACTATATACATTAATAATTAATCCGTGTGAAATAGTACATGTAATTTTAGTATATAATTAAGAAAAAAATATTTATTGATTTCGATTAAGAAAGCCTAGACAGTTTTACATTAAATTTAGAAAACCCTATGACAAAAGAGTTCGAGAGGCACTGATCTAAATATTATTGAAACGGCTGTAGAATGTACTAATAAGTAGAGGCAGTAGAGATACGCTTTGTGAACTCCGAAGTCGAGATTTTTATTTCGGTTGCACGGGTTTCAAGTAAGTAGCCAACGTTCAACTGAACATCACACCAGTTATTGTTTATCTTGACAAAACTTTCTGAAAACAAAGTTTTTCACTAAACGAATTGAAGATCGTCGTGCATTATTATAAAATGATAATTTAATACACTGGTAGAAATAGCTTTTGGTGCTTTGCCAGGTGTAACGCGATTGAACACGTTTTAGTTTTTTTTAATATTATCATGTAAATTAAGATATTAAGAGTCATTATAATAAATTAAATAAGCGTTAGTAATTTTATTGATTAAAACGTTATAATCACGTGAAAATTAACGGTGCATGATAAATGAGATTGGAAAAATCAACATTACTTTCGGTTACAAGAGCTTGTTCCTTCAAAAATTCACTCGATTTTATGATTTTGAAATGTGTAAATAAATATAACATGGTAAGACTGAATACTAAAATATTAAAATCTTACACGTTCTCGTTATTTATAAAAATAAAAAAAATAAAAACGGTATAACGTTGAATTTTTATTCAAAAATCATTTGCTTTTCGTTCAGAAAAGGTATTATTATTATTATTCCACTCGAGCGATTACAAAATCGAATCTCTACGAAACACGCAGAGTAGTTTGGTGTTCGAAAACCATGTAAACAAAAAACCAAAAATATGTCCTGACACTTTGATGTATAATATAATATGATATACGATTGATGTTTGTTTAAGTTCTACGGAACCGCAACGGAAAATTGAAATAAACTATAACCGATGTGTCAAAATCGTCCGTATTCCGATATAACTGATATTATGTAGTCGTTCTTAACACGTCTTTTCTTATTAGTCCGCCATACATGTTAATATAATTTGTTTCCACATTCGATCGTGGAAAGATTTTATCAAAGGTTAAAGTTGAAAGATTGTATAGGCACATTGTATGATATGAATATTTACATGAAAATATTTATAAATAAGATTATAATGCCGTTTGACTTTTGTGTTGACAAATTCGATTTTCGTTCACATATTTCGTGTCAATCAAAACGATACTGGTTGTGTTCGACGTGGCCCATTGCGCGTTTTATATTCGCTCACGGTTATTGCATTGTCTTCTTCTTGTCTGGATTTCATAACTCTCCGAGGGTTTTCACCGCCATGAATGACTTTGTACAATTTTAAACCCTGACGCACACGAAAGCGAGCGCTTTCGTTCACGTCGGACCGACCGTCACGTCACCGTTCCGCTAGGAATTTTATGAGAGCCGACGCGTGCTCGAGACTTTCGTGAGGATCACGTTTCTCTCGTTTTATTTTATCTGCACCGCGAGGTATACCTCTCCTACATTTTAAACCGCCTAAACGCATTATGCGAATATATTATGCAATAAAACCTAATGTATAAGATCCGCTTTTCCGTCCCAGGGCGGGTCATCGCTTCGTGCGGCGGTTTTATTCGTGTGACGACGCACGCATACGTGCCGGCAAAACATGTCCTGCTTTTCACCGCGACCTCCCACGAACTCGACGTACGATTTTTCGGTGATTAAGTCACCAAAAGCCGTCATGACGGCCGACACCGAATCCGTTCGGCTTTTGACGTATTGCTATACGCCCGCCATTGGTGATTACGTCGGACCGTTATAAGCTAAACGGCAATACCGTTGACAAGCGGTTCACAGAAAAACTAACATTGCCCGACGCGGCAGCCGTCATATCAGGAACGGCTGTCGACGTCTATATTTTCTGATCGACCACCGGTCCGCGGGGTGCACCGTAAACGCGACACACGTCCATCGCAGGAGAGGAACACCTGGAACGGTCGCGACCACGTCCGACACGCACCGGATTCTGTTTGCGCGGGGTGTTGGTCCACGATTCCGACAACGTCGCGTCGTAGACGCTCCGATAAAATCATAATTTCTGTCGTCCTCGATTCGGTGTGTTCCTCGTACAACCTGCCCCCAGGACACGTCTCGTTTAATTATTTTCATTTATCGTTATTTAATTTCCGCTCACCATCATGCCGTTAATGTTTTGCGATCTACATCGGACGCGCTCTCCAACAGCTTTCACTATTGTAGATCTATTGCTGCTTTTTACCCACGTTGATCCTGATGAAATACAACATACGTAATCACATCCCGCAGCGCACTTGTCTCGAGTCGAAAACAACCAATCACGGTACAACTATGTG